TCCTCGAAGATCATCCGGGAGACCACGCAAGACTTGAAGAACCAATTGTTGTTCGGAGACGGGGGCATCTACATCATCCAACCAATCCGCAAGATTCCGGAGGGTTTGACAATAAGCGGCAATGGAGAGAGAACCCTTCGTGGTGGTGCGGAATTGGTGCTCAAGTTGCATCGCCCGGGCCGGCTTGTTGTCGTGGAAGATGTTATAGATGGCTTTCCAAAGCTCGGATGCAGAGTTGGTTGTGGAGAGAACAAGATCACAAATTTCATCATTGACCGTGGAGAGGATCCAACCTTGTATGAGGGCGTCAAGTTGGAACCATTCCGAGTCATCGGCGCTGGAGGGGGACGATTTTCCGGTGAGAAAGTCACCGAGAGAGAACCTATGAATGAGAAGGAGGAAGAGTCGGCTCCACTTTTTGTAATTGGGCTCAGAGAAGCTTAGGAGAATCGGCACATGGAGCTTCACGTTCGAGATCGTCGTGAACGCCAAGTGCGGGGTTGGAGAAGATGGCGTTGAGTCGGTCACGGAAGGCTTCTCAGACATTGTGACCGATGGGGGAGTTGCTCACCGTGGGGAGGGAGATCGCCGGAGAGAGAGAGACCGCCGGAGGGAGACAGCCGCTGGGCACTGCCGATGGAGGAGGGAGAGACGGCTGCGGCTGCTGGACGGTCGAGAGAGAGAGACGGCAATGGCGCGGCTAGGGTTTTGCCTGCGCTAGGTCGAACGAAAGGCGGAGAGCAACGAGAGGCTCTGATACCATGAAGAATTATTATTTTCTATTAAGGAATAATGAGGGAGAAGCCTCGTATAAATAGTTACAGATGATTTCTAATTACGTAAGGAAACCTATACATGTAAACTACCATAATTACAATAATCACATAATTAATATTAAATATATACATAACATATTTAAAAGGAATATATTACCTTCTTTTTTTTGCAAATCACGAAACATATTTCACAGACAATAATCTTATATGAAGTTCAAATATTTCACGAAACATATTTCACAGAAATCAATTTTTTTTAAAAAAGAAGTAAATACTTGAGTATATCATAAACTCGATCCTTGAACTGCCCATGATTATTACTTTTTAAACCATGGTTAGGGCATATGGTCTTTGATACTTCGGAATTGTCCGAAAATCATTAATTACTACGGAGTATTTACTAAAGATGCTAAAATTCCAATGTAGAATAAGATCCAAGATCTGAACCCCCCAGGGTTTATATCAATTTTAGAAACATGGAGATCAAGAAAGAGACCAAGAAAAGGGAAGTTAGCGTCAGTACTTGTTCGGAGGGGTGGGGCTGCCGGCGCTGGAGCTGGAGGGGTGGGGCTGACGGCGCTGGAGCTGGAGGGGTGGGGCTGCCGGCGATGGAGCTGGAGGGGTGGGGCTGCCGTCGATGGAGCTGGAGGGGTGGGGCTGCCGGCGCTGCTATGCTCTCGACGGAGAAGAAGGACGTGGAATTGGAGTTGTCCGAATTCTGTCGCTTGTGGAGGTTGAAGTGAGAGAAGGGAGATTTGGGAATTTTGGGGAAGGTGGGAGAGGAAAAGACTAAGAAAAAGGAAAATTGAAAAAAAAATTAAATATATTGGGTGGCATGCTTGGAAGCACTTGTGCTTCGTCAATTTAGGTGGGAGTCGAATAGCAAATGGATAATGATAGTGTTCTCCCAAGAATAGTAAATAGTATTCTATTTTTTTACACCATACTTTGCACTAGCAAAACGCTAATATACACTAGCATAAAATATTTCTGAGATTGATAATATTTTGCTTTATTCTGTCCCGAGTGTACAAAATAAATTATTAAAAATTTTTTGACACTATTTGCTTTGTTAAACTTTCTATACCAATATTTCAATAACATTTGATCGGAAATATTTAGAATTTTTTCTTATTTTACCCGAGAGATATGGAAGAGAAAGAGTATGTTTTGTGAGGTAGCAATAACAAAATCCCTACCAAAGTTGCCATGATATATTGGGTATGCATACTCAAAGAGCAGATCTGATTTGATCAAAATGTGGGTTGATCATATTATCAACTTCCCTCGCGAATGTTTCCATTGCGGAGGCCGGCAACGACACCGGAACCACCGTTCCATTCTTGAACGGTATATAGAAGCTAGACACCCCCGGGATGGCTCCCACGCCTCCTTTCGCCGGCCCGCCGTAAGCCGGTCTACCCCACCCGAAATCCACCTCGCCGAACCCGGCCCGCTTCAGGTCGGAAACCAAGTATGTCCTCGCAACCGCGAAATGCGGCCGCCCCCTGGCCACCATCAGATCCGCCACCGACCTCATGTACTCTTCGCTCACCTCCCCCTTCGCCTTCCTCACCAGATCCACCGCGTACCCCAGCGGCTTCTTCGCCAGATCTCCCGCGGCGGCCATCGCCACCGGGAGCGCGAACGCGTTCCCGTAGTAGCCCCGAGGAATCGGGGGGTTGTTGAATCTGGATCTGGCGTTCACGATGCAGATGACCCGCACCTCCTCGTCCGGGTCGGGTCGGAGGGCGACGGTGCGGCACCGCCACAGGCACGCCGTGAGCACGTCGAAGGTGGAGCACCGCCGTAGGTTCACGGGGAGCATCCGCCGGAGAGCGGCTATCTCTCCCTCCCCGAAGAAGACGGAACGGTGTGCCATGTCATCGAATGCTAGAACGCCCCCGTCCGAATCAGGAACTTGATCGTACTCGTGGTGAGCGAACGTCGGCGTCGCGCGCGGAGGTTCCCGGGCGTCCAACAATTCCCTCCGCCACACCGGCATAACGGACGGCGTCCGACCGCCGCGCGCTATTTCGGCGACGGCGTTCATGAATTGGACCAGACCGAAGGCGTCGCATATTGTGTGGTTCAAACGCAATGCGAAAATGTACCCACCGCAGCTCAAGCGAGTGACCTACACTCCCCAAAACATAAGAGAGATCATTTTGCTCGGAGAATTCTTTGATAAAATAAGAAGTAATTCTTTGATAAAATAAGAAGCGGAGAATTTACGTAAATAACACTAAAATATAATGTATTTTTTTTCTCAATCTAGCATTTTTAGTCATTATCCATTAGTCATTATTTAAGTAAATATTGGTCATCACTGGACATTTTGGACATTATGAAGTTTTATTTAGGGAATAAAACAGTTTAAGTGCTATTTAGGGACATGACTTAAGTTTTAGTGTTATTTCCTACCTGAATGAGGAGCAAAGGGCAGTGGAGAACGCCTTCGGAACCAGGAACATCGTAAAGAAGCTCCTCCAAACACGAGAACGGAGGCTGAAGCACGTCTCCGAAATCCGCCAGCGCGACATCCGCGTCCGCCTCGATGAAAACGACCCCCTCCCCGGTGCAATCCACCATTAGTTTCCGGGCGGGGCCCTCCCGCAGCCTTCCCGCCAAAGGGTAATAAAACACGAGAGCTTTCGCCAGTGCTTCCCGAATAACTTTCGCCGGGTGGTCTTTCCCGTTGAGATTGGTCTCGTCTCTGCGGTAGAATTGGATGACCGGAATCTGGAACCTCAGCCCTTCTTGGTCATCGATGTCGGATAGATATTTAATCTCATGTGGCGTCGGCCCCGCCGGAGAAACAAGCTCCGGCATCCGCCTCCTCACCGTGAAAACCAAAGGTTGTGGCGGAGCCATATTATATGGAATTGAAGCACACTAGCAAGTAAAGAGTATTAGTTGTGTAGTAGTGTGTATAATGGTACTCCGTATTACTTGTGTTTCTATCGGGGCATGGCTATATATAGCGCGACCTGGAGGAGCGGAGGTCACTTCGTGTGAACTTCCAAAGACACCAACTTTTTAGTTCAAAACCTCTTCTCCATTCAAATTCACATATTCCTCTTAACAATATCTTTCCTTGAGTCATTTACTTTCAGAGAAGTCATATAGACTTCAAATATTGTTCCTGTAACATCTGTTGATGGTAATGGATCAAAATAAAATGTAGAGCGAGATTCATATAATTTTTTTCATCTTTCTTTTTAGCACGATTGCTCGAGGATTCTACTGCTCTAGACAGGATAGAAGAAATGAGTTTTGATTCTAACAAATTTAAATAATATAAACTATTTTATTAAAACAATAACTAACAGCATACTAATACACTTAACAAAATTATAGTATTATAATTATATATCCTAAATAGATACCTTAAAAATTAATTTTTAAGTTTTTCATTAAAGAAATTTAACATATATTTCATCCGTTCCAAATTAATCTTCCTAATTTGATTTTGTGATCTCTAAGTCAACTAAATTTACACACTTTAATTGACATGGGTGGGGTGAGTTGGGGTCAAAACTGTGCGGGGGTTTACCGGAAGGGTGATGGGGTTAGAACTATGAATTTTATGAATGGAGCATCGTATGTATCCCAGTTAGAACTGTACGGCTGAATTTGTATATGGATCTAAGGTGCACGATACACCTTGATGTATATTAAATACTCCGTATACATTTGCTTGGTGCTGACTGTGCTGAGGTAAGCATTTTTTAGATTTTTAAAATAAAAATAATTTAAAATTTGTGTGTGAAGGTTCATGCCGACCTTGTGGACCCTAGTGCATCAGAGCATGTCCAATGCATACAAAAAGTGAGTCTCAATCTCATTGGAGTCAACTCATAGAACGCTTGATACAAGTCAATTTTTTTTAAGTAGACGTTGACAGGGAAAGTGAAAAGTTCGTAAAAACATAAAGATTTAAGAATGTTGCGAGCAAAAATAAAAATTATTAAATCTGGGAATATTTTCGTAAAATGTATTTTTACGAGTATTTATGTTAATTTTTTCCCTAAATTATAAGAAAAATATATTAACAAAAATTGAGTGTTATTGTGGGAGTAAAGTGAGATGTTGTGAACGGATGGAGGTTGGTGTAAAAACTGATTGAAATGTGTCAATGTGAGGCCAATATAGTCAACATGACTTGACATTTGGGTTTTCCGTTTTTTTTTTTTTGGGTTCAAAACTCTGGTAGCTTTTATTCCTTTTAAAGTCAGGGTCTTTGTTTGAGAAAGGGTCAAATGTATGGTTGTTAAATGCGAAAGCAGTGATTTAACTAGTAGTTTCAATATTTAATGGGCCGGTGTCCATGGCTTATCCCATTTGCTAGGAAACACGATTGTATACACACTTAACCCCGTCTCCAATTAATTTGGTTAGCATTTTAAAAAGACTATCTACGAAAAACATTTAACATCAATATTTTCAAAACTAATCTGCACCGCTAAAATTATATCGAAAACGTTAATGCTAATTGAAAATGCTATTCTCAAATGAGTCTTTTATTTTTTCGCTAATTGATTATTTTTTTAAATTTATTTGTTTGTAAATGTAAAAGTTAAAATTAAAATGTATATAGTAAAACTAAATAAAAAATTTTATAAAAAGGTAATGACATAACTATATGATTTTATGAAATGAAAAAATGAAGTTTAATATTGTGAAATACTCCCTCTGTCCCATAAAAAAGTTCCCATTTTGACCATAAATTGGTCAAACTGTTGCACACTTTGATCTTAAATTAAATATAATCTAAATAAAGAAATGCTAAAAAAATTTGAGATATCAAAACTAGATCCTAAGATGAATCCAATTATATAAAATTTATTTCATAATTCAATATACCTTTCTCACAATTTGTAGTCAAAGCTTGTAAATATTTGACTAAATACTATTCAAAATGGAAACTTTTTTGTGGGACAGAGGAAGTAGTATATGAGAAATGTTTTGGCAAGGGAGTACTTCTCAAATTTGTTGCCTACCTTAATTTATGATTTGGAAGCAATTCAAGCAGTTCACACGTCATAATTTCCGTCCAAGGATTAGACAATCTTCTCAACTACTTCGAATTACTCCCTCCGTCCGAAAATATTCTTCCCATTTTCCTTTTTGGTCCGTCCGGAAATATTCTTCCCATTTCCTTTTTTAGTATACTTTTTAAGGATAAATTTCAATAATACTCTTCTATTTTATCACTAATCTACTTTTTTAGTACTTTTTTAATAAGAAAAGGAGATTTAAAAGTTTATAGTATGTGTATTTTTGAAAATTTTGCATTTTTTTTACTATTCCTTAATAAGCGTGCCAAGTCAACACGAGAAGAATATTTCCGGACGGAGAGAGTAATTTTTAGATAGTTGAAATTAAATGTTACTACGCTTTCCTTTTTATATCATTCTTTCTATTTTGGTTTTTGTACTGTATGATCAATAATATTTTTAAACTGTGACAGTAACTTGCGTAAAAAGTAAATTGACCTGTGATATAAATTAAATAGAGAAATTTACTTACATAGGACTAAAACATAATGACTTTCCTAATATAGGACTATATGTTTTTATTTCCCAATGTAAGACCTTTGGTCATTATCAAGTAGTCATTATTCAACTAAATGTCCACCATTACTGGACATCATTCTTTCCACTAAGTCATTATTAAGTCCTATTTAGAGAATAAAAAAGTTTAAGTCCTACATTAGGAAAGTCATTGTGTTTTAGTCTTATTTAGTGCAAATTTCACAATTAAATATCAACAAATTTGTTTTTAAACATAGTTTTGAAAATAATCTATGGTTATATATAAATACAGATTTTAATAATTAAAGTATTGCATTAAATACCGTAGAAAGTCATTACAAGAAGCGCTGCGTGCAGTGTTTGGCGACGGAGTCATGGGGTCACACATTTGCGACAAAGTAACATTTTTACAACTGAAACAGATCGCGGTCATGTAATTTAGCCGCCAGGCCAGCGGGGCGGGAAAAACCCGGCCACGTTTATGACGGGAGTCTGCGACGGTGCCGTCGCAAGACTGTTTTACGATGGATTCTCCGACGGTATTATATCGTGACATATTGCAGTCGCAGACAAATAAAAAACCGGCCGGGTTTAATAAGATCAAATCATCTGTTAGTTTGTGCAGTTAGATCCCCACAAAGGGTGTGGCTTTGAATATGTCTGCATGCCGTCGAGGATATCGTCCACACACAAAAAATAAAATAAAATAAATGCGGAGTAATAAATAAAAGTGGCTGCTGGCTTATCTGCGGGGTGCCGTGTGCTACTTTGCACCATGTAATATTTCTCAAAAAATAAAAGAGTAAGTAATTACTTAGATTTTGATTGCAGATTGGTAACAGAGAATAGAGCTCGTACTTGATATGTAGAGAGGTCTTATGTTTAACATAAATACCTCCTACGCTTTCGCACCATGATAAAAAGATACTTCCTACGCTACTAAAAGATTGTTACAGTTTGATTTTTTAGTCAAATTGTAGCACCATTTGACCTTGAATTAAGTACAGTTTAAAATAAAATTTGATGTTTCAAAGTTATATTTTAAAATAAATCTAATTTTACTAGATTTATACCTCCCCCCTGCGTCCCTAAATGATATACATATTTTACTATTCAAAAATCAAAAATCACAAAAACTTTTGTCTATTTGTGTGTTTCATTAACTATTTGATGAAGTAAATATTATTTTCAACTTTTAGAGGGTGTTTCTTTGTGCTGGTGCTTATTGTCTTTTGACGCAAAAATTAGATACCTAGCCCGACCAGTTTTCGTAATTTAATTGAATTTTGTAAAATGCACTGCTTGCGTAAAAAAATGCACCATTCTCATTTAGGCCGGTTCCTGTGAGAATGAACCTTGTGGGGAAAAATGAGAATGGTGCATTTTTGTTTGCCATGATGCATTTTTTTACGCAAGCAGTGCATTTTACAAAGTTCAATTAAATTACAAAATTGTCACCAAGCTACGATCAGATGACACATTATGGTAAGATTACATGCTTTGGTGAGATGACGTAAAGCTCACTATTGTTATCTACAAAGCTCATTCACAGTAACTGCAAAGCTCAACAAGCTATATGGCAAAGCTTACCATATTTTTTCAGCACTTTATTTTTCTCAAAAAAAATAAAAGAGTGCACTCTGACCCATGTTGACTAGACTTTGATCGCTGACTCCCGCCATTGACCGCCGCCTGCCTTCTGTCGCTGCCACCACCTGTCACCGGTTGTCGATGCCACTACTGGTCAATGGTGGTCCATGGAAGTCAATGGTGGTCCAAGTCCACTCTTTTGATATTTTTTTTGAAAAAAAAATAAAGTATTGAAAAATAGATGAGCTTTGTCAAATAATTTGGTAAGCTTTACACATAGTTGTTACGGCGACTAGGCGAGGCCAGGCGCTAGACCACCTTCCAGACGCCTATGCGATTAGGCGCCCACCTAGGCGTCCCTTGGGCGAGTGAGATATGGCAATATTGATAATTTTTTAGGTACTAATGTAAAACCGCATAGTATGAAATAAATAAATAAAATGATTAATTAGTACACTGATACTAAAAAAATAAGTACCAAAATGTTGATAATATATAAATAGGGAGTATAAAAAATTCAAAGCAACAACTCATCAAGTCAGATGCCAAACGAGATGAAGAAAAAAAACCTTTAGGTATAGAATAGTACGAGTAATTAGATTAATTGCAATATTCAGCCGACGAGAAGCAAATTCACTTCCTCGCCCTACCCGCATCGCATCTTCAAAGATCGAATCGTGCCTCAATTGGATGATTATACGATTTGAATCCACCAGTTTTTACCATATCTTCAATTTCTAGATCTGTGCTGCGATTCAGATTGTTCCAGGTAACCTGTCGCGTTTTAATCAATTACAAGTCAAATTCTAGGCGGAAAAAGCTAGGCGACCAATCTGGCGTCCCCAATATCTCGCCTAGATAACTATGGCTTTACAATTGCTGTTCGTGAGCTTTGTTGTAGGCAATGGGGAGCTTTACGTCATCTGATCATCGAATCATAAGGTGTCATCTGACTAGAGTCGAACACACACAGATATATATTGCAGATACACCTCACATGGGAACAAGTTCAAAGTTATCTATTTTGTACAACGAATGAAGTCAATATGGTTCTTTTTCGACAAAAGAACAGAGGCCTCAAATTCATGCTTAAACAAAAAAAGAAAGATAGATACTGCAGACTAAGCAGCGGGACTCCCTGCAAGAAACACATCTCCCAGTGCTGCTTCAAGGTTAAGAACAATCTCTGCATATGCTGAAGTCAAAAAAAATATTGTGCACGTGTGACACCTTCTGCATATGAGATTCTCTTGTAAATGTAATGTAAGTTTTGGAAAAATGTTTGCTGTTAGCGTTTTTTAAACGGTGCGGATGAACTTTGAAAACACTATAGCTATCGTTGAATAATATTTCCAAAACACTGAAGGTAGTTCCAAGCGAAGCCATGGTAAGCGAGAAATGTGTAGTATAGTGAGACTCACCTTCGGGAAGACTCATGGTTCGAAGTGCTTCCTCTGCATAGGCGAGACGCACTGGAGCTGCTGAGAAGTTTTTGCCTTTCCTGGTTGAGGATTTGTTTGGCCATGCGAGAACGCTGACCCCACTCGGCATAGTGGACCCCAAATCAGCGTATCTTAGGCACACTGTTATCCTGCTGCCAATGTGCAAAAGGAACACACATTTTGTACCATGACCGTGTCAATAAGTGAGCCCTCAACCAAAGTGGAAATTTATTTTCTCTATGTTATGATGGTTAGAATTGTAAATTCACAACATCATTGCTTTATTTCCCTCTAAAATCAATAATTTAAATAATACAAATATGAGTGTCTTTTTTTTGTGAAAAAGCAACAACTTGAAAAGGCAGAGAGGAAGAAACTACATACCAATCGAAGTCGTTAAGCATGAACTCAACCATATGGTAAGGAAGACTATGATACAATTGTACAATTTGGTTCCCGTACAACTCTTTAATAAGTCGCACCTGTAAAAAAGAACGAGAGCTGAAACAAAATACCAAATAGCGTAACTGAGGAGTATAATACAGTTCTCAAAATGAAATGTCTTTTTTTCCTTTTCGAAAATGACACTATAATTATCTACCACCACTCTACCAGTTTGTACATGAGTACATCAGTGTTCTACTCTGTCAAGTGTGTGCATTGCTAGTGTTCAGGTTCATGCCTTCTTTCTTAGTTTCCTTTTCATCTTTGAAAGACAAAAATCAAAGGGATCTACATAAAAAATTATATCAAATGTATTGCTTTCATATACTTTTCTAGAACAGACTCTTCATTTCCCCTCCATTGAGCCAAAGATACTGCCTTTTATAATATTTCCATTTTCCTCCCTAGCATCTACACGGTTCCTCCTTCCTTCCCCTCCCCTCCTCTTAACCAAACAAGAGGTGAGAGGCAAAATCAACTAGTTTTACATAACCAGTGAAGAAAAAAGCATGTACCTGTTCCCGTCTATCTACATATGCCTGCAACAGATCTCCCACATGGTCTATGAATTTCTGAAATAGGAGTATCAACATGTGTTAAGAGTGACTAAGAGATTATCTCCTTGCACCAAACATTGGTGGTTGCAACAAGAAGTCTGTACCATTGCATTTGAAGAGAGGAGCTCATTTTCCGCTTCACGTATAGGAAGGAAAAAAGGGACTGTATGCTCAAGAACCGTCAGCTTCTCAAGAAATGATTTGCTCTCAAGCACGCAGTGGTAAAGTTCACAAGTTTCTCCTGCAAAATAAAGATCAGATGATCTACGGGAAGGCACCAGATAAAAAAGAACTAGCAACAAAGTACCAACAGATTTGCAGAATGCAAATTGCTTAAAACATCATGCTGCAGTGGCTGCACAGTAAGCAGATCACTTATCCCAGATATTGACCGAACATTCTTAAAGATATTTCTTATTGTAAATTCCAACAAAGCAAGATTAATTTCTTGAATATTATGTGTCGTTTATGTAATGCTTTCCACAAACCTACAAAGACTGAAATGTCATCGGGTAAGGATAAACACTTTGAAAGTTGAAATACCAGCGAAAGATGTCTCATATTGTATACCGATTCTTGCTCCTTCTAAACAACAGATCACCTAAGAGGAATATAGTGAAAGTCAGTCAGCAAGCTAGAACTTTCATGTGAATTTTTTTGTCAACTATTGATTCAATCTTCTTCTCTTTTGGTTGATAAAATATTAATTGAAAATAGAAGGGATAATGAAAATCCATCCTCACGAGTTGAAACAAAAATGAAAGCAGTTTACACAAATAATGATGAGGGTACTACCACTACTACATATGTCATGTGCAATAAAATAATCCCCCTTTACACCATAAGAAGTTGTACATTGTAAATCCATCCCATAAACATTTCAGGGACAGTCACTCCAACAACTGGTGCATACCCATAACAAAGGTTCTCAGTTCAACCTATTTACCCTATTAAAGACATGTGTGAGATTGATTACACCCCAGGAGGGCCTTAACATAACATGTAAGTTCAATATGGTAATCCTAAATATTCGTAAAGAGAGATACTAGAGATTAATTGACACTCATGATGGGTTCATCTTAATTTATACTATGCATTAAATATCACCAACCTAATTTTCAGCACAGCATACCTTATTACCAACTTTATATGTAACTTTTTCTTGACAAGGAATTGGAGACTGGGCCGCTTCCCAAGAAGTTTGCATGGCCTTAATGTCTGCCTCAATGTGAACCTGATATAAATAGCATATTTTAGATTTAGGTTCTTCTCATTGCGTATCAAAACAGAAATTTTGACAAGCATTACTTGATTTTCTTTTAATTAAAGACAACAAAAAAAGGACTAGCAAGGGTAAAACAGCTACAAGAAGTAAAATCAATAAATGATTAAAAATGAAATTGTGAAAAATCAGTTACGGAGTATTATGAAAGGTCCTAAATGCCTTCTTTAAGATAAAATTGTTTACATAAAATTTACTACTCCAACAACAACAACATTACCCTAGTGCCTCAAAGGCTCCCGCCCATTGCGGGGTAAGGTGGGTCGGATGTACGCAGCCTGGCCCCTTTCGTTAAAACATAGAGAGGCTGATTCCAGATGACCCGTGATCAGCGTCGAACATTGCATTGGTTAATGGTTACTCCACTATCAAAAGAAGCACAACTAGTTTAAGAACCATTTTGCTTCATTCCATCTCACTCTGTTACTCCAAAGCCAAATAATAGTGAATATTTGGCTCCATTGGAGAAGATAGAAGTGAAAAATTTACTACTCCATGCCAAATAAATTTGATGCTTGATACCTTACTGCTCCAAAGATTCAATATTTTTTGGCTTTGGGGTATGATGGAATAAAGCAAATTGGCTCATTAAACTGCCTGCGCTTCTTGCAATTGTGAAGTAGCAGTTAGTCAATGCAACTTTCGACGCTCATCATGGGTCATCTGGAAACAGCCGCTCTGTGTTTTAAACATAGGGGTCAGAGTGTGTACATCCTACCCCCTTACCCCGCAATGGGCAGGAGCCGTTGAGGCACTGGGGTAATGTTGTTGTTGTTGTTGTATACCTTAACTTGAGTTGCTTTCTCTCATAGAGAATCTTCTTCCCCATCTCAGAAAATTGAGATTAAATTTAAATTAGACCAACAGGAAACCGTTCACTTTGAACTTATAATTCAACTGTTAGACACTTTCTTAGTTTACCACAGGCATTTCAAACAAAAAGAAGTGTGAAAGAAATAGCATCCTGACTTTTGATACTTTTTTTTCCACAATGAGTAAGATACTAAGATATGATACAAATAGAAAAGTACCTGTTCCCTTAATGTAGCCAATAAACCATCATTCCATTGCTCACCATCCAAGCTAATTTCTACAAAAGCAAATCCAAATGTAAGTTGAGTGATGTGACATCAACATAGCAATAAACTAACTAATATTGAGAGGCAGGAAAGACATAACACTGGGGTCAAATAATAATTACAAACATGTGTTCCTGAATAAAATCTGGTTAATATACACTTCCTATGTCCCAACTCCCAAAATGAACTTTACTGTTTTGTGGAAAGCTGAAAAGAAACTAAAACTATGTGGTAGTAATTTATGTTTTGAAAAGAGATACAAAATATCAACTACACAGTTCTTCCCATTAAGATAAAACGAAAGATTACTTTCATATTTTGGAGCAGATGGAAAATAGAGTCGAAAAGTTCACTTGGGGACGAAAGGGGTGACTCATAATTGAACCTCCTTGTCATTAATATGCATGTTTGGTGTTCACACCTAATACATAACAAAACATTCAACCACACTACAGTCCTGCAAAACTGAAAAATAGATGGTAGGTACACTCAACTGAATAGAACAAGAATTATGTAGTGGAAAGCTACCTTGAGTTTGAGAAGAGCGTGCAGCTTCAAACTCTCTATGCAAACGCTCAAAAATTGTCTTGTCGGAGTCCCTAACAAAGTCAAACAAATTGCACACACAAACAAAGAAACAAACAAAATTTGAAACTAATTTAGGTCAGGAGTGATGCTTCTGATAATTTTCAACTAACATTTCGACCAGATGCTGGGAAATAAGTAGGATGAAGATAAAATCGCTTCAGTGGAAAGACACTGAAAAAATCCTACCTAGAAAGACGCTCTGCAAGATCTCCATGCCTTTTAAGTACATTTGAGACTGTCAGCAAAACAGTAAAATTAAACTCAATGAATGTCGCAAAATGAACAAGGAAAAAGAGCAAGGCAACAGCGATACATTTCGCCCGTGTAGTCTCCAAAAGCATATCATCCTCCTGCACTGAATTCTGGCAAAAATTCCAACAAATAATCACACTGAACAGAACAGCTTGAGTGAAAGGAACAATACAAAGACACACAATACTTCCTCAAACTAATGGCACATGATGAACTGGTAAAACACGGAAGAGCTTTGAAAGAGTCGTACCATTTCGCTCTTCTTCAACTATGAAGCATGGAGCCGCCAAATCTATGGAGAAATCGCGCGACGGGGAAAAGGACACTAGGTCGGACGGGACACGTGTCCGGCACTCGGATCGGCCGGAGACGAGGTCAAATGCGTCGGCCACGGCCGGCGATACGCTGGGGCTTCGTTTGGAGAGCAGTTTACTATTCCGGCAATGTCGCCATGTGGTGGTGATGGGAAAAACGACGAGTGTGGTTGGGCTTCATCGCTCTTGGGCTTTATCCAAGGCAGTCAGTACAATTATAGAATCAGATCAAGTTCGGGCTCGGGCCCGGGCCGAGCCCTTACAATGCACAAATATGCAAGCGGCCTAATAGCTCTAAACCCCCTGTGGTTTGGAAAATAGGCACCGAAATCTCCCTATTTTTAATATTCACTCCTAAAATCCCTGTGGTTTCTAAAAGCATCATCTATACCCCCTCCATCGGATTTTTTGTGGCACGTGAATCTTAAGCTCCGTTGGTGCGCTGGAAATTTGATAGGGGGGGGGGCATTATATTAGTGCTCCATTTTGAAACCATAGGGGGCTACCCATGTGATTAGTCGATTTTATTATGACAAAAATGTCCTTCATCCAATTAACTTTATTTTTTTTCAATATTTCTTACAACGTAAATAATTTTTTTAGAACATTAAAAATGTCATTTTTTATTTTTATGATGGTGACATTTTCTCTTGTCTATAATACTTTTTATCTTATTTCGTTTTTCATTTCTTTTTCTATTAATTTTTTTATTTTATTGTATTTCATTTCCTATTCTTTATTTACATGTCCCAATTTTTTATTTTATTTTGTAAAAATATGAGAAATGAATTTGAGACCGAAATAGTTTATGTTACTTTTTTAATATCATTTATTTATGAAAACATTATTAAAAATTGAAAAAAAAATTAAAAATCCTTACGAAACAAGTAATAAAATGAAAATAGAAAAAAATGAAAAAAAACTACGTTAAAAAGAATTATTGATATTATATTTGCATAATTCTAAAAAACAATGAACTGGTTCCAAAAATGTAATACCTCGATTTGCATAACCCGGTTCACGTGGGTTAGCGGACCAAAGCGCGAATAGACTGTTACTTTACCAATTTGCAGTTTTTGGTAAAGTAAATTATTTTAACCGGGTTATGGACTGTTATTTTAATAGTGCATAATTTTTTTTCAATTTTTAATAATGTTTTCATAAATAAATGATATAAAAAAAGTAACATAAACTATTTCGGTCTCAAATTCATTTCTTATATTTTTCAAAATAAAATAAGAAATTGGGACATGTAAATAAAGAATAGGAAATGAAATACAATAAATAAAAAACTAATAGAAAAAGAAATGAAAAACTGAATAAGATAAAAAGTATTATAGACAAGAGAAAATGTTACCATCTTAAAAATAAAAAATGACACTTTTAATGTTCTAAAAAAATTATTTACATAGTAAGGAATATTGAAAAAATAAAGTTAATTGGATGAAGGACATTTTTGTCATAATAAAATAGACTGATCACATGGTAGCCCACTATGTTTTTAAAATGGAGCACTAATGCCC